GTTTTAGAAACAGAAGAACAAACTTTCAAAATGTCAATACTACACATAAATTTAAACTGACTACATGTCTCAATAAAAATAATAGCCTTTAGCAACTAAAAAGAAATTTAGCACATTGAAAGAATACATTAACATTAGTAAGAGAGTATATTTACCGTTTGCTTTTTTTTGGATTATTTGAGGCCATAGTGCTAAAGTAACATATATGACCATGAACCATACAGTGACCAAGGGGACAAAGTAATAGAATTGATAAGGCCGATCCATTACTATACATAACACCACTACCAGGAAATTGAGACGGAATAAGACCTGTTAAAAAGGAGAAGAAAGTGGTTTTCATTCCAGGTGTTCATGAAGAGTAAAGACAGATTCTTTCTGACAGAGTATAAACATTTAACACTAAAATAATAACTGTACAAGTATATCTTTCTGATTCCTAAAATTATATTTGTTCTACAATCATTGTAAAGAGTTGAGTATAAAATATTTAAGCATGATTATATGAACTAAATCCCAGCAAAGCACCAGCCTAAGCTGTCCTCTGGCTACAACTGCCACCTTGTTAAACGTAGGGAAAGAATCATAAACCTCCTTCCTAGGGCTACAGTTTATAAGCAGAGATTAGATTACCTTAAGAAAAGGTGTCCATTTCATCTCTATTTGATGTTGATTTACCCCACTTGGGATGAAATTGAGAGTTGTCATAGATACAAAATGATATTACTCAAATTAGAAAGTATCTTGGGGACTTTTGTATGTTCCTTCTGACAGTATGATGTCATTCAAAGACCCAAGAATCTGAGCAGGTTGATATTAGAGCTGCACCACTTACTATGCATGCAACCACAGGCAAATTCTTTAACCTCTCTGGGCCTCAGTGACCTCCTCTGTACACATGAAGATCACAACTCAGGATTGTAATGAGAAGTAAATAATATTCAGGAATTGCTTAGCACAAGGTAGAAACTTAATAAATATTAATCTTCATCTTAGAGAAAACAGCATATTATAACCGTTCCAGGAAACTGTACATTTCTACCAAACTAAAGTGAATCATCAACGTTGTCCCTGGTGTACCAGTGCTTTTATTATACATCCATCTCACTTATATTTTCCCTTCCCTCAGTAGTAAATTATTATCTCCAAAACACAGAAATAATACAACTTTAAAGTGCTATTTCATAAATTCAAATTATTCATGGCTTTAAAGCGACTATATATATGTACATATTTTTTTCTCAACAATTAGGCACAAAAGCATGTTGAAATAAAAAAGAAGAAAATAGAAAAATAAGTGAATGTATTCCTACCTGACATACTCTATGGATCCCAAAGTCTCCTTTGATCCAAAAATATGAGAAATGCCCATAACCCGTCTGAAATAGATATGCAGCAACCAGAACCCGAATGTGCATGTACACGGGCAAAAACTGTTGACAAAATACATGTTTGTAAAATATATACCGGCACTAACCATCCTTTGAATTATCATAATAAGTACATTTAACCAAGATAATGGATCATGTTACCATTTGGTATTAGCTCAATAAAAAGATTCCTTCTCAAAAGCTAGGCATAGTAGGGGTTAAAAAAATGTAGAAATCAGACAGACCTAGATTCAAATTCTGGTTCTGCCACTAACTAGCTATGTGACTTTTAAGTCTGAGTTTTCTAAACTGCAAAATGATTCTATCACTTCTTTCCTCAAAGGGTTCGGGTAAGGAATGCATGAGTTAATAAATATAGGGCACTTTGTACATTTTATCCAGTTAGAATTAGATATGTGATATCTATAATAACTAATCACCATATATACTGAATACCAAGTTTCCTCTGGATTTCTTATTTTATCAAAGAGAAAAAACAACCCAAAAATCCTACACTTTTGGCCCCTTTAAGTAGACTTTAGACTTGTAAACAAAATTGTCACATAACTAATTATAATATTTAATTGTTTAGCAAAAAAATACATATTTAAAAAGTGTATGCAAAAATAATTTAGAAATATTATTTCCCTCATTCTCTTTTTTTTTTTTTTAAGATTTTTTTTATTGGGGAATTGGGGGGATGGGAACAGTGCTGGGGAATTAGGGGAAGGGGAACAGACAAGTTGCTGTCCTTTTGTTCTTCAANTCTGGTCAATTTTGTGAATTGTGATCTGACAGCCTGGAAAATCTGAGCATGAAGTGGCAGGAGCCTTGGGTACATTCCTGCACATTAATGAAGTTTTTCAAAGAAAAGAACAAAAACCTCAATTTCTAGACTAAAGAATGCAACGAACTCTATTAAGGAAAGATCCATTATTAGACCTAATGCTACAGCATAAAAAAATATAACATCAAAATTTTTAAAAAGGTGAATAAAAATCAAAGAAAAAATATGAAAGCAGTATTATATTTCAAGTAATGTTGAATCCTTAGGTCAGAAGAACTTTATTATTTTAATAAAATGTAATATTCTCCATTTAATGATAAAATTTAAAATGCTTATAGCTTATTAAAAATAGGTTCTATCTATGCCCCAGAATATTAAGGATGATTTTTAACAAGATTTGCAATATAAAGTACTTACATATCTCATATATATATACATACACAGAAAATATGGACATATGATATATAACTATTATATATATATATATATATATATATATATATATATATGACCTTATAGATCACATATATATGATGTATTTATAATTTACAACTTTATTTCTGATTAAAAGATGTGTTTCTAATGTGATCAATAAACAAGTGTTTACTGAGCACCCATTTTGTGAGACAATGGGCCATACTGGGCTATGCACGTTTTCTCTTGTCCGGTGGTTAACACTAATCCAAAGCAGGAGAAACCTTCTTAGTCTCGCTATTGAACCCCTGGTCCACCTTCCTTTCTCTCCCTCAGATGTAATAGAGTGTTGGGAATTTTAATGAATGACTGTTAAGTAGCTGTGGCAGTTCCCTGGAACTTCTTCATATATTTGCCTATTGTTTCCTTATTATTTTATATATCGCCTGCAAAAAACCTTGGAGGTCAGGCAGAAATATAAATACTTTATTTCTAAGTATGGGAAAAAAATAAAAAGCTTTATAGAATTACACACACACACACTCTGCTTATATGATTGACATTTGCCAGATACAAGAACGAGAGTGTTGGAGACAAGAGCAAACTAACACGTCACAACTATAGGCATTCAAATTATACTTTTGTTATAAATATCATGCTGCCCAAATGATATGCCTGCCTGGTGGGCTGACCAGCAGGTAGCAGTCTGCCACCCTGCTAAACTAGCCAAGAAATCTCAGCCATCATAATAAGGGGGATAAAAGGTTAGAGACAAGAAAATGACCAACATTTTTATTAAATTAAACATACTACATATATATAAACCCTTCTGCTCCTAAGTTGGCTTTATTAACTGCCAAAATTTTACTCTATGCAGTCATGGAAAAAATCAAGTACCATTTTGATGCAATGAATAATGCACAAACCAAGCTGCAAATTCTGTCAAGAGAATTTTGATTTCCACTCAGAGTAGTCTTATAAGAGGCATTCAATAAACGTTTGATTGATCAAACTCAAGAAAATGGATTTCGAACAATTGCCAGAGGAAGAGCTTTAAATTGCTCTTACAACAAAAACAGTGGTAACAAAAGTAGATAGGTCTCTAAGGAACTACACTGTGTAGTCAACTACAGAGTGACACTTTTATTACAGTCATTAAAAAATGAAGCTAAAAAAAAGCTCTGACGCTTCTCACATACTTTAATAGACTTGAACTTTAAAATAAAATAGAACAAAATATAAACTAAAAAGACTGTACAAACCTGAGAATATGCCAAAAAACATATACATAACATCAAGAAGGCTAGTTTCAACAGTAAGCCAAAATGCCAGAGACAATTTCCTAAGAGAGAAAATATTTAATTTACTAAGAAATGTACATTTACATAAGAAAACATTAAATATTTTCTATTTAACATATTAATACCTTGCATAGTTCTTAAAATAATTTATGGTTGCTTAGAGGATACAAAAAATATATCTAAGTAGTCTAAATTACGAGTAGAATAAAAAGGAAAAAAATTTGAAAAATATGGAGGGGTCCTTGCTAGGAATGAGGCTACAACATACACCTAACACCATATATATCTGCTGTTCATTCACTATAAATATATTTNCCCTCCCACTGATGTGCAAAAGGATCAAGTCTCAACTACAACATGAGAGCACACACAACACATACAAGGGACACACCTAGAGCACTGGCTCAGCTAAACAGGGAGACTAGATAAGAAAACAAGACCCTTACATATGCTGCCTACAAGAGACTTCAGAACATTTTGATGATTGCCAGAAGGGAGGAGTACTGCGGGGGATAGGAGAAAAAGGGGAAGGAATTAAGTACAAATTGGTAGTTACAAAGTAGTTATGGGGATATGAAATACAGTATAGGGAATATAGTCAATAATACTGTAATAAGTATGTATGGTGTCAGATGGGTACTAAATCTATCAGGGTGATCATAAGTTACATAAATGTCTAATCACTATGTTGTACACCTGAAACTAATATAATATTGTATGTCAAATGTAATTGAAAAATAAAACATTATTTAAAAAATAAATGATTAAATTCCTATCTCTTAAAGTTAATTTTCTATACAATTTAGGATGTTGGAAAATTAGAAGATTACATACTGAAACTTACCAGGAAAGAAACTACTGAAATAAACAAGAGAACATTTGAAATTTTGTTTGAAAAAAGAGGTTCACCCTTTCCTTCAGAAAGTACTTGACGCTTCTGTAAAGCCAGATAAATGAAAGCAAACAACATTCCATGAAAAACTACCTGAAAAATAAGGAGAGAAAATTTGTTTTAAACAGCTACTTTCCAATAAATAGCAAAAAAATTGGTAAATGAGAAAAAATATGTATAAAAGCGAGTAGGTTAGAAGGTTAAAGATTCAGAGTTTCTAGGACTTAAAACTTCAAGAGTTAAAACTTCAAGTGATGAAACAAAGCCCACGGTGATTACTAAACTATCAGCCACAGACAAGCAAACATCTCTCCTAACAATATGACATAAGCTGACTCATTTGAGCAGTTTCAGCAGCAAGTGAAGAAATAAAGACAATTTAAAAGTAATAAAAAACTATTCCGAAGACATGTAATAAAATTTAAATGTACTCAACCAAGACAAAACATTTTATATTGGTACTTTCAATCAAATAAAACAACCAACCACCAAAGTCATACTTTTAAAAAAGATTATATGCACATAAGGGTGAAAAAAATATGGCGGATCAGAAAGCACATAAGCATTCTTTTTTAAATAAAGACTTAACCTGTACTATCATATCATAATAGACTGCTCTAATGAGAAAGTTGAGAATTTAAAATTATTTCATGTCAAGACTTTAACAAAGCTTTTTATTCATACATGGTTTTGAAACACAATGCAGCTCACTGGCAAGTACACAGGCACTGGGAACCAGGAATGACACAAAATAGGCATTAAGAAAACATTTGCAGCATAGGGAATAAAATCAATAATGTGGTAATAACATTGTATAGAGCTAGGTGAGTACTGTTGAATAACTATGATGTACACCTGCAACTAATATAGTATCGTATATTAGCTGTACTTTAATAAAAAATAATCTTAAAAAAAAAGCAAATGGGAATGTATCACTATTAAAAAAACAGAAAACATTTATTGCATGAAAGATGGAAGGAAAAGAGATAAGGGAGGTAACTAATATTTACTCAGTGACTATTATTTCCCAAATGCTGTGTTAGGTGTTTTACATTATTTTGGCCAACTGAATCTTAACCATCCTTGAAGATTAAATTCATGGCATCATCCATGACACTGTTCTCTCTTCTTTGCACACTTTTACCTCCAAATCCATACTGCAAAGTTTGGCACCTGATTGTAAGTCATAATCTTGGTTTTAAACTAGATTTTATGGCTTAGAAGCCTGGAGGTGTGTCATTTTTCTCTAATATATCCCTCACAACACCAACACTAGAGCATATATTGGGGCTCAATAAATATTGTGTTGAATGGTTGAAGCAAATATATGATGGATCATCTATAAGTCAAAATTATGACTCAAACAAAGGCCACCTTATCGACAACATTTTTACGGTATTTTCCTGCTGATATATATACATTGCATACCCTTACTCTGCTATAAAAATAGCACGGAGGCACGACTGCTCTGATTTATCAAATCAACATGTTTCCTTATTCTAAAACTAAATGAAAATAGATTAAAAATTTCCAAATAATTTTAAAAAGTATAATTAGAAATGGCAAAAGATCACAAGGTAAATACATACGTAACGGTCTAACCTCCATCTGAACCACCATTCATATACATTCCCTTTCAGTTCAAAGCACTTAGACAATGGCCAAAGAG